AAGAAGGTACTTGGGGGTGGGGGTGGGGGTGGGGCAAGAGAGGCGGGTCTGGTCGGGTCTGGCCAGGTCTGACCTTCCGGGGACATGGCTGGCCGAGCCTTCACCGTCCTCTTGCAGGAGAGGTGAGACAGCATCATTTTGACCCCAGATCTCCAGGCACAGTTTTCTGGGTCCTGAGCACCAGCCTCCTCACTCTGAGGGTAACGGGAGGATGGAGGGGGACAGAGGAACCCAGCTTTTGCCAAAGGGTCCCAAGCCAATGTGTGACTATCTTCTGAGGTGAGCTTCCCATCCTGGTCCTGAGTGAGGGGTTCTGACTTTGCCTGCCTTGCCTCCTTCTGCCCACTAACGAGGCTGCCTCTTGGGTGAACGACTAAAACCTTTTTAGCATCGCCCATCATCAAGTCATCTTTATGTACCAATTTGTTCCTAAAGTGGTAACTGGGTGCCCACCTCCACAGGGGGGCTGCGCCTAGTGGGACAGACTGGGACCTGCCAGGACGTCTGCTTTCTGGTCAAATGCTCACGCAGCCCGACATGCTGGGGACACGCAGACAGAGGAGTACTAAACATTGAATACATACACAAAGAGAGCAGATGAAATGTTTGTCTTGCCTATAAGCCAAGGGCAAGGATATTTGTGGAGCGGTAGGTATGTGTCTGTGTTTGAGGAAGCGTGGGGGGAGGGTGCTGCTATAGCAGGCGCTGGTGTGTGGGGGGAGGGCGAGGGAGAGGAAGATGTTGCTTTCACTGCTAGATCCCAATGCCTTCCTGAAATTGCTGGTGGAACTGCAGAAGGGAGAACTTTGCTCGGTGGTGACATTGCATCTGGGGTCTTCCAGAAGGGGAAGAACTTGAAGGACATTCAGAGGTGGAGACAGAGTCCATGAAGGGAGGGTATATACCCAGGCGTGAGAGGGTGGCTGTGTTACCTCGACAAGTCTGGGAGGGGGACTTGCTGGGAGGGGAGAATAGTGGAGAGCATAGCTTTTAGAGTTCTGTTAAGAGCAGGTGGGGGGTTGGGGCAGTGGGAGGAGGGGGCTGGGGAAGTCCAGGTGACAGATGGCTAGGCGGCTGCAGGAATGTAGAAGAGGGAAAGAGAGTCAGGTAGGAATTAACAGCATATATTGAACGGGGGGGACCACACACCTAGCTCATATCCAGGTCTCCCTGGAGACAATGTTTTCATTAAACAATCATTGTAGAAATCCACAGTCCCCAGTGACTTGCCCCTATCTCTCAGGGCAGAATGTGAAGATCAAAGACCCAGCTAGACCACGCTGGAATCGAGGTACTGTGGCCAGACAGTAGAGGGCGCTGTGACTCAAACAGAAGTTAACCAGAAGCCACCAGAAGGAGGAAGCTGACCACAGGAAGGCTTCCAGTGGGTTGTTGGGTTTGCACCTTCTAAACTCATGGTCGGCCTTTAGTGCCCAATAAACACAGAGTGACATCCTTACAAGTAATTGCAGGGTTTTTCCAGGATGGACTGAAACAGAACAGAGGGGCCCGAAGCTGCTTGGCCATCATAGCACTTGGCTTGTGCCCAGATAGCAGGGGGCCATAACCATTAATGCTACTCTCCTGAAATGGGGAAAAAAAAAAAGCCTCCCTCATTTTTAATAACTTTATTCCCCAAACTTCAAAAATGAAATTGCCAAGTTAAGAACTTGCCTTGAAAAAAAAAATTCTAATTTATTATAAAGAAGGTCCGGGGCTTGGGAATTTTTTAATGCAGATTCCTAATTTTCCAAAGTGAGATTCTCCTGTGCATTTGAATAGATTATGCTCGGTATTGCTAGCCCTTAGCACAACGGGAACATTATTAAAACGACTGCATGGGTCTCAGAGGAAGGGCTCTGCTTCTCGCTTCCTTTTTCATTTTGGGGACTTCGTATCAGAGACTGTCCGTTTTTGCCTGTGGAAGAAACTGGGCTTCCAAGGAGGTGATATAGAGATGTGCTCAGCTGTCCAGGCCTTGAGGAAACAAGTCATACCGGATCCAAAAGTAATGAGATTAGACCTAAAGGAATCGGAGGAAGTGGGGAATCCTTTTCAGAGAGCCTCGTTTAGGAAGGGACTCCCCTGTGTGCCTGACCCATGTTCCTATTAGGCCCGGCTTTCCCGAGGACATTGAGTGTCAGAGAGTAGCTGGTTCTCTAGGATAATGAGCATGATGAGGGCAATGGAGCAGGGCTTCCCCTGAGAAGCTGGGTTCAGCCTCTTGAAAGCAGAAAGGGAAGAAGGCAGGAGGATCACAGCAAGTTCCCCAGCAGAAGACTCACATAGAAGACATTCATTCCTATGTGGGAGCCCCTCCTAGAAGGCCCCAAAGAGTGTGGAGAAAGGACCCCTCCCCAAGAGCCAACCGGCCTCAAAGTCTAGTTCTCTGTCTCTGGAGAGAACAGCCTTCCCCCATGAGTCAGAGGTCCTTGTTCTGTGGCTCTCACTCACCTCTTCCATCCTGGACATGTCATCAATGCCCAAACGACTCCCCACGACCCCCTATCCTGATCAGTCTCTCTGGGAACCGGGTTGGCTCAGGGAAGGCCCATGGCAATCCAGCCATAGCCTAGTGGCCTAGCCAAGGCCATAAGGACCCCAGACTTTGGCTCGGTCACTTGACCAGGGACACTGACACTTGCTGTCAGACGCCTCTTTCCTGGGCCCTGGGGTTACAAATAGATGCGTGGCTTCCTCAGGGCAAAGTATTCCTTTGCTGTAAATGGATTTTCTATGGTGAAGTACTGGTGGCTCCTAAGAGAGGAGAGCCTTGCACAGTCCGTGCCCAGGGTGTCTACTCTGAGGCCCTAGATGGGGACCTGGAGCCTCCCTTCCTCCCCTCAAAAGGCTCGAGCCGCTCACCGGTGACTTCCGGGGGGCTGAGTGCCCGAGAGCTGTGGCCCTACCTCCATCACGTCCCTCAGCAGCTGGGATGTATTAGTTCTCAGCTGTATGCTGAGAATTCAATTAGGCTCCTGTACTTAACTACACCCGGATCCGCATTCTTGGACCACAGAGGCCCTGCTGCCGCGCTCTTGCTAATCCCCACCAAACCCAGCCTTCTCCCAGCTGCCCCAGCAGGCAAAACAACGCTTGGGGTGGGCGGGAGGGAGGCAGCGGCCACCAGCCGTGCCAGTCCAACGCTCTCTGACCTCTTGGCCCTGCCCTCGGCTGTCCCCGAGCCTTGCGTATGAGGCCTTTGCACCCACTACCTGCTGAGGATAGGAAATGACCCCATGTCCATTCGCCATTTCTACTGTGGAGCTAGGAGAGCAGGATCCAACTACAAAAGAAACGGAGCCAAAGTGCGTGCCTCTTTATCGGGACCCCGGGGGTCCCCAACACTGCCTGAGCAGATGAGAGAATGATGTCTGTGTCTACTGAGGGAGGAGGAGGCTAGTTCCCCATTACGGCTCCTAGGTCTCCCCAGTCCAGGCCTCCTGCACTTCGTTCTGACTATGGAGGGGAGGGTCCTGACGTAGTGTGGCACGCCTGGAACTTTCAAATAGAGGAACCATGTAAATGCCGAGTCCACCCCTGCAGTCATTCGTGGAAAGCTACTGATGTGGGCAGAAGGCTGGCCGCACAGGAGGCTAGGTTGGGGAGAGCTGAGGAAGGCATGGAGTTGACATGTTGGCGCACGGGTGGGGATAAAAGGACGTGTGCTCGAAGGTCGGGGAATGACAAGTGCTTCTGAATTTTTAGGGGTGAGGGGAGAGGAGTCCGTGGCGGTCTGCATGCTGGACGTTCTGGAAAGTGGTGATTTCCTGGGGTGGGGGGGTGGGGGTGGGAAACAGGGATGGATGGCGCAGCCGCTACATGCTCACACCAGGCTGGGGGTGTCAGGATCCTAAGACCGTATGTGTGCAAAAGTCTGCCCACCCTGTGCTGCGTCTTAATATCCCTCGTGCGCTGCACAGATCTTCCACGTGGTCCCTGAGAACGGCTGTGTGTGAAAGGCTCAGGAGGAAGGGGCATCAGAGCAAAGACCGGCTGCCGGATCCCGGGTGCACAGTAGGCTCTCACTGCACGTTTGTTGAGTGAATGAATGAACGAGGGTTCTAGCTAGCTGCAGTTCACATTGCAGATACTCAGTAAACCCTTTCTGGAGTCATACTGACTTGAAAGACCGGGGTAGAGAAAATAGGAGGAGGTGGAGGTAAGGGCCAGGGAACCGACGCTCCTGTGACAAACCGCAAAACTAACTCAGGGTCTCCAGAGAACCAAGTGTGGAGAGAGGTGCGTGCGGTGGGAAGCATGGGTCCAAAGTGATGGGTCTGAAGGACCAGGGGGAGCCCAACCCACCAAAGCTGGGCCAGGCCTCTAGAAGGAGGGGAGGAGACAACAGGAATACAGTGTGAAGATGCCACCTTCTCAAGAGGTGCAACCAGGATGGAGTCTCAGGAGAGCTCGGGGGGCTGCTGGGTCGGAGCTGAGGGATGGAACCAGGGGAAAGGGCTGGAGGACGTAGAGATAGAGTCATGGCCTTTTTCTAGCAAGAAGCCGACAGAATCCTGAACAGAAAGGTGATTCCTGGAATGGGCAGCCAGAGAAGGATGGGACAGAAGGGCTCCAGTGACCAGTAAACGGGGGGGATCTGGTACAAAGGAACCTCTAATTAAGGTTTCCCCAGATACTCAAAAGCAGACTCGATTTACCTGCATCTGGATCTCCCTGAGTGAGGGGTTGGGTGCATTTGTCTGATATCTGCTTCGAGTGGGAAGCAGGGTGAGGGTGGGGGCAGGACCATGACTGGGTGCTCCAGACGACGGTCCCAGATGTTGGTGACAGAGCTACTCAAGTAGGATCTGAACCCAGTTTTGTCAAATGCAATGGCCCCTCCAGGGGTCTGTGTTGGCCAGCTCTCCAGAGCCGGGGGTGGGGTGGGGTGGGGGGGAGAGCCCAGAGAGTGGCCAGGAGACAGCTGGGGTAGGCCTCGCTCTGTCCCGCCCAGGGAAGGCCACCCCCTTCCCATCATCTGGTCAGTCGACACTCACCTGCGGGCTGTCCTGGTAGGGTGGGGGAGGGACATTCTGCGTGGCCATCATCGTCAGAGCGGGGGCTGGGGAGGCATGTTGCATCATGGGATTGATTCACATCGAGGATCTGTGGCAGGAGAAAGGGGGCCGCACCGTTAATAGGCTGAGCGCAGGGAGCCCTGGGGACCGGCCGGCTCGACATTTTCTCAGGCTGGGCCACCTGGACTGACGGACTGACGGGCTACAACAAGCGCTGGAGGCCCTTTAGGGGAACAAACAGAGAGCTAAGGGGAGAGGCCGGGGTGGGGAGGAGCTTGCTGTGCTCTTCTGACTTGAAAGAAACGATATTCAGATTACATGTGAAACAACCTGTACGTAGCCTCGTAGCCTCATAGCCTCGTCTTTGTTCAGCATCAGCTGGGGCCTGGTGGGGGGGAGGGGAAGGAGTAGGGGAGCCTGGCTGGTGGCAGGACAGGGCATTGGCGGCCATTCGGGTATCCCACAAGACAAGGGCGCTGGCCCTTTCCCAGGCTTCTGGAACAGCCACCTGCGCTCTCAGGGGCAGGAGGCCCCCACCTCCCGACCCCAGGGTCTGAGAGCGCGGACTAACCCCTCCCGGGTGTGCTCGCCACACCCCCTAGTGGCCGAAAAGGGAGGTGGGGGCGCAGGTCGGCTCCCGGGGACCGGAGGGTGGAGCCCGCAGCACAGGGCGACCAGTTGGTCTTCAGGGAAGGGAAGGAGGCTGGGGGACATCTGAGAGCCTGGGTGAGCCTCCCGTCACTTGCCGAGTCTTTCTAGGTGTGTGCTTGTGACTGTGGGCATATGGATGTGTCTGCAACATTCTTTTAAGTAAGCCTCCTTAGCCTGCGTTCAGTATAGAGTCCCCGGCACCTGGGGCCAGAAGAGCAGAGCCAAGTCCACCCCCTCTTACAGAGGAGGAGACAGAGGCCAAGAGGAATGATGTGTGTGTGGTGGGGGCGGGGCAGTGCTAGTGAAGCAGGGATTGGACCCGAATCTCCAGGTGCCCTGTCCCCGCTGCCCCCTACCCATCACCAGTAAGTGAGCTGCCCCTCCTGGGCCTCAAGGTTTCTTCTTGAAATGGAACGTGGTGCTGTAAGTGGAGACAGCCTGGCAATAACCGCCCCCCACCCCGCCCCAAGGAAACAGACCGCCCAGAAAGCTGTTGAGCTACACTAGATGCCCTGAAATATTTAGAGCTGGAAACTGCGGGCTCATTGCCCGCCGCAGGCCTGTCCATCGTGGGGCCTGGAAACTCCTAAGAACCTCTGTGGGGGGAGGGGCCTATCCTTCTCCTGGGGGGAGGGGCCTATCCTTCTGGGTGAGGGGTGCTGATGAGCTAGAAACATTTGTGAGCACAGACTCAGACCTTCCCTCCCCTCTCCCTGAGGGCACTGTGGGGCTCCATCCTCATCCCACTGATGCCCCCCACGCCTTCCCTAGGGTCTTCTGAAATGTTCATATATGTGAATTCTGTGGTGATCTGAGGGTGTTTGGAGCTGCCTAAGGGAAGGGGCTGGTCTCCAGAGCCTTGAGGTGTGTGTGTGTGTGTGTGCGCGTGTGAGAGAGAGAGAGAGAGAGTGTTTTTGGTTATTTTTCAGGAAGAGGAGGAAGCAGCAAGCCTGGCCTGACCTGAGTCTGTGCACTAGCTATGCTCTGACGTTAAGTGCGTGCAGGAGCGCTGGCCATGTAGGTGTTCATTCAAGGACTATTTATCAAGTGTCAACTACAAGGAAAGAGCTAGGAGATGTGGGAGGATAAATGAAAGGAGGCAAGATCTCCTCTCCAAGGAGTGTTATCAGTCGGGAGGTGATGGCCCAGCGGGCCAGAAGAAAGAGAAATGAAGGTTCCGGAGGAGACAGCAGGAGACAGCGTAGGGAGAGAGGGCTTCTGCTGTGCCTGCAGGGCATTCCCCTTGACCTCTCTGCTACCTACAGCTTGCCTGCCCTGGCTTTACCAGGGTGTCTTTGCAGCAGAAACACTCAGGGTCTCCCCACCTCACGCACACATGAGGCACCCAGATCCATGTTTTATTTATGCAAAGAGTGTCAGGAGGGAGCCCTCGGGGGAGCCAGTCACTTCAGGCGGGAGAACCAATGCCTGTGTTCGTGGTTGGCTCTTTGTCTGGGTGGCGGTACACATCCAAGGAAAGCAAGAGCAGAGTGGAAAGGGTTCCCGAGGAAAAAAGAGGATAGAGACTCCTTGAGATGTCAGAAGAAACTTCCAGAATTAAGATGTTTGAGACATTAAAATGGGTGTGGAATCTCTTGTGGACCCTGAGGGACAAAAGGAAATCAGGATATTTCAGGGGTGTGTTAGGCTCAGCCTTTCCTGGAACTCTGGCAGACGAGGTAACTTTGGTTGGGGCCTCAGGACCTGCCTTTAGGACCTCTTCCTTGGAGCTCCAGTCTTGGATGCTCCTTCGCCGGGGAGAAAGTGAACCACTTTGGGGCTGTAATGCCAGCAGCCTCCAGAAGAGGGAGCCTGGGGGCAGAGTCTGGGGTGGGAGCTCTCACTAGGCGGTTTCTCTCCCCTCTTAGGGGCAACTGGTTCCCTTTAACCTCGGGTTTGGGTCTTGGGGTAACCTCATTGCACGGATGAGAAAATCAGTAAAGGCAGAGCAGAGGATGCTCAATAGGGAGGATTGGGGCTAAATAGAGGGGGCTTTAATCTGCATTCTTTTGTTCACTGTCCAATGAATGGGAGGTAGGGTCATTTTAGAGTTGTTGTCCCTAGAAATATTTGCAACTTGGCAGGAGGGCTCCCCAGCCTGGGGGCAAGGAGAGATGGGTAAAAGCGGTCTGCAGCCAGAAGCAACCCCCGACGCCCAGGCTGAGAGGAGATTTTTCAGTCTGGAGTCTGTCAGGCTGTGAGCAGGGGCCAGACCCGCCTCGCCAGAGGACACAAGAACAATTTTCTGAGGACCTGGATGGCCTTTGCCCCTCCCCTCCCCCTCTCTGGGGTCACCACAGGCCACTAGGCCACTAACCCATTGCCCTCTGGGGGCTTCTCCTGCCAGAGAACAGGAGGACTTTTCATCAGGGGCTTAAGTTTCATTGGTTCTCTGCTCACTCAGGCACAGAAGCCTCTGTTAAGGAGACACTGGGGGAGACCCCACACCCATCTCTGGAAGCTTGCTCTTTTCTTCACACCACTCCACAAACACAGGCACTCCCCCATCCTTGGGGAAGCCCACTGGCTAGGCTTGGAGGGGGAGCAGGGCTGGGGGATGCATGGAAGGACCCTGGAGAGGAAAGGGGAATCCAGCTTCTCTCGTCTGAAACTGGGCCCGGAGAGACTTCATAGTGGGTGGGGGGAGCTCCTTGAGCAATCCCTGGGTGCCTGGCCCTTTTTGCACTTTGTTTGAGAGTACGGAGGGGAGTAGCAGGCCTGTGCTCTAAAAACCCAGCCTGGGGCTTCCGGCACTTTTCCGTGGCTCAGAGAGGCTGCTTGGCCCTGTTCAGAGGCCCCAGCGCTCTGTTACCAGACACCAGGGCACTCAAGGGAGCGCACCCAAGCCTGCAAATGGAGGACGCACAGGGAATGATTTACCACCGAGAGACTTCCCGTTGAAGGCAGGCTTATGTCAAAAGATTGTTCTTAATGCTGAAAACCTTTATTATAGGACAGCTGGGGGGGTAAAATCCCCTAACGCAACATTCAACCCCACAATGATATCCAAGAAGAAATAATTCGTGTCACTGATATTATCAAAAGGAGCTAAAGCCGCCATTTTACAGAGCTCCGGAGCCCAGTAAGGCCGTGTTGCACAGATTGGGGGTGGGTGAGGGGGGACAAAAAGACACCCCTTTAGGAAGTAGGAATGGGCAGCCCAGGAGTTACCCACTCCCTGTCTCCTCAACGCTTGCTCCCCCCAGCCCTGCAAGGTGAGGCCCTGGGTCTGTAGCCCAAACTCCAGTGTGTTGACAAACAGGCTTAGAAAAAAATCGCAAGCTCATTAGGAAGGAGCTCATTAGGACTTGTTGACATGAAACCCATTAGACCAATTAACATTCCATTAACGGCCTGGGGCACCAAGGGGTTAATGCTGCCCGGCAGTAATTGGGCTGGGGTGCTGGGGTTGGGGGCTCAGGGCCTTAAGGATGAGAAACAAAGTCTAATTGGGAGCTCTCTGGCCAGCTGGCCCGACAGTGACAGCATTTGTTCTTGCCCTCTGACCCTAGCTGAGACTACATCGTATCCGGACCCACTTAGGGAGGGGGGCGGGACCAGCTTCCCTTTGGCTCCTCACTGTCGCACCTCTTTGCCCTAGATGGGAGACTGGGCGGATGGTGCGCACCGGCCGAGGTGTGGATGTATTTCCACCCTTTTGGACTCTGATAGTCCTGTTTTCTTCATCCATCCCTGCCCCACCCCCTTCTGGTCCAGTTTCTCTCTTAGCGCCCAGGGAAGAAAGTCCCCTCTTCCTCTCCTCAGTTATGCGTGTGGGACCTACGCTTACAAAAGTTCTTTGGAGAAGCTAGAATCCTTGAGGCCCCAGAACCTGATTCATCTGAAGAGTGTTGTAGTTTAGGGCAGAGGGGTGAGGGGAGGGAGCATTGGCCCTGGGTCTTTCTTCCTTCCTCCCCTCCCTCCCTTCCTCCCTGCCTTCCTTCCTTCCCCAGAAAGGAAGCTAAGACACACTGCGGAGGGCCCCACAGAAGCCCTTCTCTTCTGTCCTCCGACACACACCAGCAGGATTTTCATTATTTTCCTTCCCTAGCTACAAGTAGAGGCTGTGGAAGTCCCATCCCCTGCCTGGGCCTCAATTTCCTCTTTTGTAAATTCCCATGATTGAAGCCTGTGCTCAGGGTCAAAAAGTCTGGGTTCCTCATCTAGCTCTGCCACTTACCTGTGGCCAGTACAAGTCACGTTCCCCTCTTGGACTGCAAAATGAGGGATTTCACCAGAATATTCTCAAAGTCTTTGCCCATGGTTAGCCCTCAACACAAGCTTTGTTGAATGGAATGGAAATGGTTGGTTTGTAGCTTCATCTCAAAGGCTAGCCAGCTTACGTATTCTCCTCCTCACTTCCCATTCGAGAGTGAGGGAGGGAGGCCCCTGAGGCCGGAGAGTCAGGGGCTCTCCTCAGCAACCCCAGCCCAGGAGCCCC